CTAATAGCTCTGTTGTACACGTCGACATTCCGATGTACGGTTTCGCCGGAACTCTGCCGGAGAATCTCGGGAAGCTCACCGGATTGATCACATTCGATGCCACTGGGAACAACATCACCGGGGCAATTCCGGCCTTTAACGGGTCGCTCAAGCTGAGTACCCTCAGCCTTGACCGTAACCGGTTCACTTCAATCCCGGACGCTCTGTTTCACTCCAAACCTCAACTGTCTTTTGTTTCTCTGGACTACAACCTTCTCCTTCCGCCATGGGAGCTCCCTGAAGCTCTGGCAAACTGTTCACAGCTCGGCTACTTCTCCGCCATCAATTGCAACATCCGCGTGCCCTTCCCGGCCTTCTTCAAACAGAATTCCCAGTTGTCCGTCCTTCGATTGACGGGCAACAATTTATCCGGGCAGCTCCCTTCCGACCTGCCCGTATCCTTAACCACTCTGTCCCTCGGTCACCAAGGCGGAGCATTGTCCGGCAGCATCTCCGGTATACAGAAATTGACCAACCTCATCCACCTCTGCCTGGACGGGAACACATTTTCCGGCGAAATACCCGACTTATCTCCCCTCAAAAATCTGAAAGAATTCGTCGTCAGCCATAATATTCTTACCGGTCCGGTGCCGGAGTCCATATCGGCTATCGCCTCTTCCTTGGCACAAGTGAATTTGTCCAGTAACAATCTCACGGGGGTTATTCCCCCAAAACTAAAGGACTTTGCTTTTAGCGGGAAACTAGATGTGTCTAATAATAAGCTTAGTGGGATTATTCCTTCAAACCTTCCCAATTTCCCCCAACCTTGTGACAATGTTTATTACTAAAAAGATCCCAGACTTCTATTTTTCCCTCAATAAAATGTCATCCTTGAATAATATAAAAAACACCCATAATTGTGACATTTCTGGGGAGAAATTAAATGTTTTTGAACTTTAAATTATTGCTTTGTTATAACTCAATGTAATCTCTACTGCTAGTCCTTGTATGGCAAATTGGCAATTACTTGTGGGGATCTCGCCTTGGTTGAAAATGGGGGAGCCAACTGATTTGTTTTGGGCTTATAATTCACTTTTTAATCTTGTTTCTTTTTAATTCTTGGCCTTATATATTTGTATTTTTAAATTATAGAAGATGATGGTGTATTTGTGTCTGAGTTAACAATTATATACGGAGTATATAGTGGTGATGTTATTGACTTATTGTGTGTTTTAATTATTTACAATTTCCTTTTGCCATAACAAAAAACATCATCTTGATTTTTTTCCAAGTGGTGGTGGATTTAAACAAATTTAATATTTTAGTTCTAGAATTTCTCTTCACAAGCACGCATACTTGTTCTTCTAAATCCGGCATATCCATTATTGTTTATTGACAAATTCTTTCATTATTTTCCTTCACTAGTATAATACCCGTGCGATGCACGGTCAAAGAATATTCTCTAAATAATAGGATGACTACATTTATACGAAATGCATTTTTAGATGAATTGCTTGTGTAAACAGACAAAACGGGGGTGCAGATATATGAAATTACTTATGTCATTCTTAGGTTGTTTTTAATAGGATTGAATTTTTCAGATCTGGTCTAATCTGGTTTGAATTGTTCCAGTTTGATGTAGTCTGATAAATGTTTGGTCTATGTATATTTTATAAATGTCGAACTTTTGTCTAATGTGGTTTGATCCGTTTAACTCTAGTCTCATTTGTTTTGATTTGAAAATGAAATAAGCCCTAGTAAAAACATTCTTAAACTACACTTCATTATAAATTAAGCACATTTAATTTCAAAACACATTTAACCCAGTCATAGTGATAACTCATATTTTTAACTAACAAATAAATTAATAATTAAATTTACTTAATTTAATTATTACTCCCTCCGTCCCATAAAATTCTTCCCACTTTCCTTTTTGGCCGTCCCAAAAAATTCTTCTCACTTTCCTTTTTGGACAATTTGTGTAGTTCACATTCATTTCACCTTTTTCTTACACAACCATAACCACACATTTCCACTTTATTCCACTTTCCACATGTAACCGTAAATTTCGTTGTTAGCAATAAAGTTAGGTTATAAGTTAAAAATATGAGTTTTGAAATGGATTACGCTTCATTACTCATACCATTTTCATTTTTAGTGGGTAAAATGTTTATTCGATTAGAGAAAATTAGGAAACATACATTCATACATATATTCAAAAACAAATAATCTCTCATTCTACTTCTAGAGTTTTGGAATTTACCTATATATACCCACCTCCACTGACACTACACATGTATATTTTCTAGATTGGAACGGAACAAATGATCCCTCATTCAACTTTTAGAGTTTTTATAACCCCCGTGCCATGCACGGTGGGAGAAATGTCACGGCGTGATTAATTTATTCAAATTAAAAGGAAATTATAATTTAATTGAATTATTTAGAATTATTCCGTACAATAATAAAGGCGTACGCAATTTGAGATAAAATGAAATGTGTTGGGATAATGGGCCGCGTCCAAGAATATTGGCCCGTTACACCTGAGCTTTGGCCCGACCAAGCTCAGAACACAATCCGGCTAGCAGATATTGGTCCGAGATTATCGAATTGCTTATCGGGTTGACAGGCCCATTAGCATTAGTATTAGTTGATAAATCGGGCCAAGCCTATAAATAGGCCACCGACCCTTTGTATTCTCCGAAGCTATTCTCACTATAATGAAATGTTGCCGAATTTTCTACCCGGATTATTTTCTACCAACATTGGTGCTTTCATTGAGAGTCATGCTCTCAAATTTTCGGTAGAAACTTGGGAAGATTAAAACAGCAATCATGTGAATTTGTTCCAAGAATTACAAATTCATCACAATTACAGCTTCAAAAAGGGGAGACAAGTCTTCTCGAAATCCAACAAAAATGAATTTCAAATCTTGAAAATTGGATTAAAAAGAAAATTCCAGATCCGGGAAGGGAGAAGAATCTCATCCTTCTCGGGCTTCTTCGGCCACATCGCTAAATAGCAGGCAACTCCACCTCCGTCACAGAGCAGTGCTCACAGGCGAGGCTCGAAGCTCGTCCCTACGGATCTGAGCCGCGTGAGAGGACCGTCCAGGCCGCCGCCGCCCCAGGTCTCAATGCGAGCCGCCAATCCAGCGCCGCCCTCGTTCCTGGTCGCTTCGCCGCTGCAGCGATCGCTCCAAGACGAGCTGCCGTGGTTATCCGCCATTAATGGCCAATTGAGGTTCGGTGAAGCAGATTCAAGGCCATAGCTTCCTTCTCCATGGTCGCTGCGACGGAGCCTGCGAACTCGGATCAATAGGTGTCGTTGTGTCGACGCCACTATACACAACCCGAGGTGTCGCAGTCGTTATAAAACTCGAGGGGCCGTCATCTCATGACCTCCTGGGAAGTGGCGAAGCAGAGCACTGCCTCCGCTTATCAACGACCAGAACCAGGACGCCACGAGCGTTGTCAGATTCGGCAAAGCTTCAGAAAGGATGGACGAATTCTGAACTCTATTTGATACGTATTGCAGAGAGGAGGCGTGAATATGCAGATTGGAGGATTTTGACCCAGTCAAAATTGGTCTAGGAAGTCCTAATCTGACCTCCCAATTCGTTGAGCCTTTTCATTTTGGTTTTTAATTTTTGATAGGTGGAACATAATAATGTATTTATTTATATTAATTACATTGCCTAATTATAGTAGGAATCTTAATGTATCTTGGACTCATTATTATAAATAATACTTCCGGGGCTACCATTAAGGTACGCTTCCTCATTATTCTCACATGGTATCAAGAGCCCTAGGGTTTTAATTTTTTTTTTCAAAACATGTCGACCGATGCTTCTTCCTCGATCAGCATGGCAGCGCCTACCATGGCTGCGCCACCACCCGTGATTCCGTTTTCCACAGCAGCCAGCCAGACACAGAGCGAGATGGACACCGCTATATCCTCTGTCCAATCCATCATCAGCTCGCCAGCACCATCTGATCTTCCACCATTAACGTATGGAAGTTGGGTTCCACCGATTTTTTCCTGGTCTTCAACGACGCCGGCTATTCCTATTCCGCCGCCGGTCACGTCACAAATCCATCCAGGTGGCCAGATTCCAGTTGCTGCTCAACCTGCCTTGTCTGAAACTCCTAGCGGTATGTTTGCCGGTTCCACACTTCTCGGCTCACCAGGTACATCCATCATGCCACAAATCAGCCCGATTGGGACACGGACTCAGCTATTCTCCACCAATTCTTCCTTGGCTACACTGTCTCAATCATTGGGTTTTTCTGCCATGAACATCACAAATATAGTTACCACAAAATTAAATGTTGTGGAAGATTATTTACCCTGGCGTACCCAGTTTGAATCCTTCTTGGTGTCTCATTCTCTTCTTGGTATTTTGGATGGTACGATTGAAACCCCTCCTATGCATATTATGAACATTCAAAACTGTCAAGTTATGAACCCTGAATATGGTCATTGGCTCAAATTAGATCAAACTGTACGGTCTTGGATTTTGGCTACTTTATCACGTGATGTTTTGGTCGAGGTTCATACAATTAAACATGCTCATCTTATTTGGGATCGTCTAGAGTCTCGTTTTATGTCGGCTAGTTTAGCACGTTCCATGGAATTAAAAACCATGCTTACCACCTTGCGAAAGAAGGAATCTCAATCCATGGAACAATATCTCCGTGAGATACGGAATATAGCTGAAGCTCTAGCTGCCATTAATTCTCCGGTGCCCATGAAAGATTTACTTGAGCAAACTCTAATTGGTTTGGGTCCTGACTATCGTTCTGTGGTCACTCCGCTTACTCTATTTTCTGAGGGCCTCACGTTTGATAAATTGTGCACTAAGCTTGTTCACCAAGAACAATGGCTCCTATTTCAACAACGTCAGGAACACCAAATGGGCTCCCCCGCGTTCGCTGCACCACATGCCGCAGCGCCACAGCCTGCTGCCGCACCAAGGGCAGCAGCACCTCCACAACAACAGTACGGCCATAGGGGTCGGGGTGGACGTCGTGGACAGCGAGGCAGGGGAGGACGAGGTCGCGGCGGTAGGCAGTACGGCCAACCTCAGTTTGGCAAAGGGCAGTATGGCGGACCTCCACAGGGCTACGGTTTTTACCCTCAGGCAGCCTATGGTCAGTATGGCGGACGACCTCCTACACCTCCGGGACAGTCAGGTACAGTTATAAGTAATTCTGTTGCGTCCCGGTATTATACTAGTTATGCTTTATCTACTTCTGCTACTAATCGTGCATCTGCAGGCTCTCCATCTTTTGAGAATAGCTTTGGTACTGTTCCTCCTCCAGTTGTTTGTCAGATTTGTCACTCCCCAGGTCATTCCGCTGTCACTTGTTCGTCCCGCTTTGTTCAAACCTCTAATCCTACTTTAGGCGTGTCCACTGGTGAATCCACATCTGCTGTATGGTTTCCTGACTCCGGTGCATCTGCTCATATGACACCTCATGAAGGTATTTTGTCTCATAAATCCTCTTCCTCCGGGTCACTCTCTGTCACAGTTGCTAATGGGTCTAATTTACCGGTTACTACTGTTGGTAATGTGTCATTATCTACCTTATCTAGGCCTCTCCATTTAAAATCTGTTTATTATGTCCCTAAGATAAAATATAATTTACTCTCAATTCAGAAATTATGTGCCGACAATAACTGTGTTGTGATTTTTGATAAAAATTCCATTTTTGTTAAGGACAACCACACGGGGAAGGTTCTTCTTCAGGGTTCCAGTGATGGTGGCGTTTATCCTATTACCTTTTCTCAGCCTCTCGCACTCAGCTCTCATGTGGCACCTGGCCCGGTATGGCATCGTCGTTTGGGACATTGTGGAAGTCGTGTGTTAGATAGGCTCAAGAAAAATGGTTCTATTTTAAGCACATCTAGTTTTTCTCATGACTGTATTTCCTGCCGTTTAGGCAAATCACAACAATTACCTTTTCAGAAAGTTTTTCATAAATCTACCGTACCTTTATATTTAATTCATTCAGATGTGTGGCAATCTCCTGTTTTGTCTGAATCTGGTTTTAAATATTATGTTTTGTTTATTGATGACTATTCACGTTTTACTTGGTTATATCCCATGCGCCGTAAAGATGAAGTCATTCACCACTTTACAAATTTCAAACTAATGGTGGAAAATTTACTTGATCATAAAATTAAAATTTTTCAAAGTGATGGAGGGGGTGAATTTGATAATTGTGGTATGCGGAATATTTTTCAACAAAATGCCATTTTGTTTAGGAAATCATGTCCTGACACACCTGAACAAAATGGGGTTTCTGAACGTAAACATCGTCATCTCTTAGAACTAGTCCGCACTATGCTTTTTGAAGCTAATTTACCGGCTAAATTCTGGGTTGACGCTGTTTACACTGCTACTTATATTATTAATCGCCTCCCTTCTCCCACTTTAAATGGGTTTTCTCCCTTTGAAAAATTATTTCATCATCCACCTGACTTATCTTTTATGCGCGTATTTGGATGTGCCTGTTTTCCTAATTTTAATGCCACATCTGCCAATAAGTTGTCTCCTCGATCGGTTTTGTGTGTTTTCTTAGGGTATACACCTGAATATAAAGGTTATCGTTGTTTAGACCCTAAATCTGGCCGAATTTATATTAACCGGAATGTGCGTTTTCATGAGAATCATTTTCCATATTATGAGCTTATCTCTTCTTCCCCAAGTTCCTTCGGTCCGACGCTTGCTGATTCTGTTACGTCATCCATGGCTACGGTCACTGCTGAATCTCTTCGGCCGGCTGCCATACAGTCTTCCTTACCGTCTCCTTCGTCCCTGGTGCCTCACACAACCTCCTACACTCCTATTCCACAGACTGACCTGTCACTACCACACCCACATACACCATCCACGCCTAATAGTCCTACACCGACCACTCAACTTCACCACTTCACCATACTGCTGACTCTACACCTTCTTCTCCAGATCAGTGTGCCTCGACCGCATGTCCCCCACCCATACATCAGCATCCCATGCAAACTCGTTCTAAGTCTGGAATTTTTAAGCCTAAACCAATATTTAATTTAAAAACAGATATTGCGGCATGTGATCCTTCTTGTTTTTCTCAGGCTAATAAAGATTTTAAATGGAGAGCGGCCATGGCCGAGGAATTTAATGCACTTATTGGCAATAACACTTGGGAATTAGTCCCACCTAGTACTAGTCAGAATGTGGTTGGGTCGAAATGGATTTATAAAACTAAATTTAATTCTGATGGTTCTATTGAGCGGTATAAGGCGCGTCTGGTGGCTCAAGGTTTTAATCAGTAGGCAGGTGTTGATTTTTCAGAAACTTTTAGTCCCGTAGTTAAACCTACTACGGTTCGTCTTGTCCTCACCTTAGCTGTATCGTTTGGCTGGCAAATTCGTCAACTGGACGTTAAAAATGCTTTTCTACATGGTCATCTGACGGAGGAGGTTTATATGCGTCAACCACCTGGATTTGTTCATCCTCAGTTTCCTCATTATGTATGCCGTCTTCGTAAGGCTATTTATGGCCTTAAACAGGGACCTCGCGCCTGGTTCTACCGTTTCAGTAGTTTCTTATTGATGCATGGTTTTATTTGTAGTCGTTCAGATAATTCCTTGTTTATTTATAACCATGGCAAGAATATTATTTATCTACTTCTTTATGTGGACGATATTATTATCACAGGTAATTCCCCATCTTTCATTAATTCCTTTATTTCTCGTCTTGATAAATCCTTTGCTATGAAAGATTTGGGTGTTTTACATTTTTTTCTTGGGGTTCAGGCTCTTCACACCTCACGTGGTCTCTTTCTTTCACAACATAAATATGTGTCTGATCTGTTACTCCGTTTTCATCTCCATACTCTCAAACCAGTTCGTACTCCTCTCCCCACTCGTACCAAGCTATCTCTAACTGATGGGGATCTGTTAGCAGATCCGACTGAGTATAGGAGTATGGTAGGAGCACTACAGTATTTAACCATGACTCGACCTGATATTACTTATGCTGTCCACCTGGTTTCCCAGTTTATGCATGCTCCTCGTACTACACATTTTTTTGCTGTTAAGCGAATTTTCAGGTATTTACAAGGGACATCTGATTTTGGATTACTGCTTCAGTCGAGTTCCACATCACCTACTATACTTGCTTATTCGGATGCCGATTGGGGAGGATGTCCGGACAGCAGCAGGTCTACGTCTGGATTTGCTATCTTTTTTGGTCCAAATTTGGTGTCCTGGAAGTCCAAGAAACAACCTACAGTTTCCAGATCATCTACAGAGGCAGAATATAGAGCCATTGCCTATGCTGTTCAAGATACTCTTCACATACGTTCTATCTTGTTTGAGTTGGGTGTCTCGATTACTCATCCTGTTAAACTATTATGTGATAATGTGTCTGCTTCTTACCTATCTGCAAATCCTATTCAACATGCTCGAAGCAAACACATCAACATTGATTATCACTTTGTTCGTGAGCGGGTTGCTCATGGTGATTTACAGGTCAAGTGTATTCCTACTTAGCTTCAGTTGGCAGACATCTTCACAAAGTGTCTCTCTCCGCAACGTTTTACTTTTCTACGTGACAATCTGCGCATTGTTTCCCCTGCACAGCTTGAGGGGGTGTAATAATGTATTTATTTATATTAATTACGTTTCCTAATTATAGTAGGAATCTTAATGTATCTTGGACTCATTATTATAAATAATACTTCCGGGGCTACCATTAAGGTACGCTTCCTCATTATTCTCACAGAACATGCTAGATCTAGACAGGTGCAACAACTGACTCAATAGCAAGGATGAGAAGCCACTTATTTATGCTGGCCTGTACTGTCCCAACGGAGCACTAAAAAATGGCGTGTCATCATACGTTGTACATCCGTACGACCGGAGCATGAAAAATTGAAGAGGAAGATATATACCACAAAAGCTTGTACGTGGACTGATTATCAGCAGACGGGGAGGTTGACCAGCGGAACCCTAGGACGCTAATGCAACCTCCTCGGTCACGAGACAGCCCGGAAGCTTGGTGGCATGGGCTCAACCCGGCGACGTGAACCTCCAATCTCCATCAAGAGGCCCGTCTCTGCCGGGATGTCCGGATACAAAACCTTGTCTTGGAGCGCAAGCCCGGGGTTGGTACGCCGAAGCTTGGTGGCACGGGCTCAACCCGACGGCGTGAACCTTCGATCTCCATCAGGAGGCCCGTCTCTGCCGGGAGGTCCGGATGCACAACCTTGTCCTGGAGCGCAAGCCCGGGGTCGATACGCCCGTACGCCTGTACGCCCATGTGCCCGTACGCCCGTGCACCCGTACGCCCGTGCGCCCGTACGCCTGTGCGCCCGTACGCCTGTGCGCCCGTACGCCCGTACTCGCATACGCCCGTGCGCCCGTACGCCCGTGCGAGCGCCCCTATGCCCCTACGCCCATACGCCCTGCACATCAATAGGGAACCAAGTAAAAGATAGTTGAGCTCCAATTCAATCCTTTCTGACCAAGCATTGCCTTCAGACTGAAGATACTTATTGGCGCCGACAAGTCACACTGTATGACCTTATGCTCTGCGCTCGTGCTCCCCTACGCGCCTAACATGGTCCAAGCGACAATTGGCGGGTCGGGTATCATCCGCGAAAGCCCCACTTGGCGTGGTGGACATAGTGTCACGGCTCGGAGGTTTGGTTGCACGATCCCGCCATGGCGAGATGGCCGCACGGTCTTCACCTGGATGCGTGGTCGTACAAGCCCAACCCGGCAATGTGAGCATTTGGCCCCTGCCAAGAGGCTTTGTTGTACGTGCCCGAGTAGCCGAACATGATTAATTGAGGAGGAAGATGCCACGAACCTTCTGGCGGCCCATGTGGTCGGCTGCGACTCACTGACGTACATGAGAGACTACGATTGTACTCTTGCCCATAAGAGAGCTCATACGCCGTGCACCCGTGCACCATGAGCATGATCAGTTAAAGAGGAAGATGACAAGACATCATGTCATGGGCGAGTTTTCATCCACAATGAACACTCGCACCAACAACCGGCAAATTGGGTACCCTTGCACGAGCCCGCCCTGGCGAGATGGCCACACGGTTGTCACCAGGAGGCTTGGTTGCACATCTCTGTCCCGGAGTGCATGTCCTAGATGATACCGGTGAAAATCAAGTCGGTCCCAGTTTATCCAAAGGAAGTTAAGGGCTTCCCACACAATCTTACACCGAGGGAAAAACTCATCACGTCATCATGGTTGGACGGACCCCCCCTACGCGGGTCGACATCTTCAAAGTCCATCTCCACCTCGCTCCAGGTGTAGGGTGGGAACACCGTTGATGAGGGGGTACAGACCTTGCAATGCAGAGTTGTTACATGAAGACCCGGAAGCATAGTTATCCAGGTCAATCTCAAGAGGCCAGGACAAACGGCCAAGTTCAGTGCATGGCTCCTGATTGATCTTACACGTTGAAGACCACGACGGGAAAGCTTGTAGATCAAGTATGGAGCGCAAGGCACCTTGTCAAATCCTATGAGCGGAGCATACCAAGATTGTGATCAAGCACGAAGTGCATAACTTGGAGCAACTCCTCAAGTTCTCAAATTCTTTCATTACTTAAAAAAATGTTTTCAATCTAGAATTTAATGAGGTCCGACCTCACTTGGAAATGAACAGGCGGCGGCCAAAAAAAAAAAACTATGACGCCCCGCTCTCGGTGCTTAGTCGACCACGGCTCGATCCTCTGATAAGGAAATGATCAAACTATTTTATAATCTAGGATTAGCTGCTCGGTCAGGGCGATCGTAAGACCGGCCCGCGAGTCGAAAAGGTATGCGAGAGGTCGTGCCCCGTGCCCCTCTCGTACATCCGTTGTCCGACGTTGTTGTCTAAACAGCTTGCATACCTGTTTGATCCAATCAATGGTGCGGCGACTATATGACCGGTCTTCAGGCCGAAGGTATGCGAGAGGTCATGCTCCGAGCCCCTCTCGTACATCCGTTGTCTGACGTTGCTAGGC